AGGTGAGTTGAGGTCAAGTCTTTTGACATAGCATCCCTTTCTCGTCCCATGGAGTGCGGGCTGTGTTCGATATTGACAATTTCATTAAAGTTAAAATTATAATTTCATTTTTTCTTTATTGATAACGTAATGTTTTCCCTGTTTTACTTTGATCATTGCATGTATATATTTCCGTTTGTTTGACGATTGCACATATATATATTTCTGTTTTGATGATGATATTTGATGATGGTATATTCTCATCTGTATGGTAATATATTTCGCTGCGATATGAATGTGACCTACAAATATGAACGTCGAGGAACTTATGATACTCGAAGTGGATATAAAAGTTATGAATATGTTAATAATCATGATTATGTTTGTGTGTGCGTGTGTTCGTATGTGTGGATCGACAGCCAGACAGGAGACTGAGTTCTCAAAATGTGTGTGTGTTTGTGAGTGTGTGTGTGTCTGAAATAACCGAAGTGGATCATCGACCATCTCTCCTTTGACATGAAGGATGGGAAAGGAAACCCTTGTACACAATGGTTGTGCTTGGTTGCCTCGGGACTATGGTGGAGTATTGTCAGCGGGTAAGCCTCTCCGTCGCCATCGTTGCCATGACGGGAGCGTATGGCAACAAGAGTCAGGTTCTCCAAGACCCTTCCTCTACCAGCTATAAGGTTAGTTACGGTTTTGATTTCGTCTCTCTCTCTCTCTCTCTCTCTCTCTCTCTCTCTCTCTCTCTCTCTCTCTCTCTCTCTCTCTCTCTCTCTCTCTCTCTCTCTCTCAAGACTGTTAAACCTACTATGACCTATATTAGGAAAAGGGGTCTAAAAATAATGTGTTATTAGTTTCGAATGTGTAAAGATGTAGAGTAAAGTAGTGATGTAGTATTTTTTTCTGAAATTTGTCTGTTCTACGTAAGGTAATCATATACATCAAGAAACATGTTTTTTTAATAGCAGTAAGTAATGTATTCGATGCATCAAGAAGGTATTTGAACATTCCAAACGATTTCCAAAGTAGTTTCGACTGTCACCTCCCAACAAACAAAAAAAAAAACGCCGCTTTCCTTACACCCTCATCTCACGGCTGCTTCCTCGCCAGGACGGAGAAGAGTTCGGCGAGTGGGACGCCGCGACTCAAGGCCTCGTGTTGGGCAGCTTCTTTCTGGGGTACGCGGCCTCCAGCCTGGCGGGGGGGCGGGGGTCCGAGCACCTGGGGGGGAGGAGGCTGTTCGGGGCGGGCATCGTTGCGTCGTCGCTCTTGGCCCTTTTGTCACCCTCCTGCGCCAGGGCCAGTGCCAAGCTCTTCGCTGTCATCAGGATGTTGCAAGGGGCTGCCCAGGTGAGTACCTTGATGGTGATCGTTAGTGTTACGTAATTATTATGGGTTGTTTCTTTTCAATATCATAGTTAGTTTTTGTTATTATTGTTGCTGTTGTTGTTTTCATTATTATTATTATTATTTAATAATTGTTTAAATTCTATAATTACTTTCATCTATTAATATTACTATGGATGATTATTATTTATACTAAGGTATCGAAAGGTGAAAAGAAACATGCGTTACACATGTCACACCTTTGTTCACAATTTTTGGTGATTCTAATTCCACTGCATGTGTCATTGAAGGGCGTGACTTTTCCTGCCATCAACGTGATGTTGGCCACCTGGGTCCTGCCCGCTGAGAGGGCCAAGTTCACCACCATCGTGTGCTCAGGTACGTAGTTTATCTCCTTGTTTAAACATGTGTCAACTAGTTATTTTTAGTTTATCAGTATGCTTGTCATCGAAGGTGATAAGTGTGACGGTTTTAGTTTGCGTTGGCATTTATATGATTGTCTACCATTTTTTTTTTACAGTTTGTGATAGCTCACTGATATCTCTTTGACAATTGCAACATTTTATTTATTAGAAATGTTTTTCTTCAGGTTCGCAACTGGGAACTGTCGTGGGCACGATAGTCAGCGGGTGGCTGTGCTCTTCCAGCGTCTTGGGCGGCTGGCCCCTTGCCTTCTACGTGTTCGGGGCGTCCGGGCTGGTGTGGGCGCTGGCGTGGTGGGGCCTTGTGTCCGAGAGGCCGGAGGACCACCCAGGACTGTCGGAGGCTGAGCTGAAGAGGTTGAAGCTTCACCAGGAGTGTGTCAAGGGAACGGAGGTAAAGCAGCTTCTGGAGGAGGTGGGAGGGCTCTGGGCTGATGTAGAGGGTTGGCGGAACGAGTTGAAATATGTGGCTAGAGAGTTCGATTCTTGCTGTATAAACAATCATACATATATATTTTGTTAGACCAACTTGACGCTAAAACCTTCATAATAATTATAATATCTCCATTTCTTCCAGACAGTAGATATTCCTTGGCTGGCACTCGCGAAGTCCCTTCCCTTCTGGGCTCTGACGGCAGCCACTGTGGGGAATGACTACGGCCTCTACACCTTGTTGATGCAGCTGCCCACGTATCTGCGAGACGTCTTGCGCTTCGACTTGGAACAGGTATGGCCGTTGTTATTACAACGAATAATTTTCGAATGATTGGTTTATTATCTTCATAAATTTCTGGTTCGTCGACATTGCTGACGTATGGGAAAGTAGTATAGCAGATCCACTACAAGAAAACATCTTTTCACTTTTTTTTGTGTGTAGTGTTTTGTTGGAATTGTTAACGTCATTTTATTTTTTTTCTCTCATTACTATTATAATTATCGTTATTATCATTACTGACATGATTATTGATGTTATTATCATCATTGCCAGTAATATCATTAACATTACATCATTATTTAATTTATATTTCATTGTTATATTAATTGTCAACAGAACGGAGTCGTATCCACCTTGCCTTCGCTGCTGATGTGGGTCTCTAGCCTCGGGTGGGCGGCGCTGGTGGACATGCTCACTGTCAAGGGGAAGTCTTCCGTCGTCACTGTTAGGAGACTGTCCATGGTCGCTGGTAAGGCTCTGTTTGTTTATAATGTGGTTGGATATACTCTGAATTATTGTAAAAAAGGGCAGTTATTTCCTATAGAATTGGAGGGTTGTTGTTTAAGTGTCATCCTTGAAAATGTAGTTACAGTTTTCATTATTAGTGTTGATCTAATATCATATCTCTCTCCTTTGCAGCATTATTGGGCCCTATGTTCGGCCTAATAGCCATGTGCTTCGTGAAGTATGATGCTGTTCTGACAATCACTGTGCTGCTGGTCTCCGCCATCTTATCCGGCGCGGCGAACAGCGGGTTCCTCTGCTCCCACCAGGACTTGGCACCGAACTTGGCTGGGACTTTGCTGGGCATCACCAAGTCAGTGGGCGCCGTGGCAGGAGTGATCAATCCCGCCATCAGCAGTTTACTTCTGCATAGGGAGGTCTGTATTTGTTCGTTTATTTGTTTTGTATTCTTATTAACAGTTTAGTAGTATTTTAGGATGATAATGATTACAATGATATTTGTATACATACACGTTTGTGATAATGATAATGGTAATCGTCATAATTCGAGAGTAGCAGTATTGATAATCAAGTTGATGATACAAGGCAGTCGTAACTATAAGTTTTATTTTTTTTTCGATCCCCAGGATATCATGGTAGCATGGCGGGATGTGTTCATAATCAGTGCTGCCATGTACTTTATCAGTTGCGTCTGCTACCTGGCCTTCATATCAGCCGACGTCCAGCCTTGGAACTGCCCGCATTTTCTTCGAGGGACTTTAATGGAGGAGAAGGCAGTGGATTTCGTCACTTTTTCTGTCTCGCTGTGCACGTCTATTTCAGTCTCTCTCACGCCCTTGAACTCCCCATCTTCTACTCCTTCTTCCGTCTCTCTTTCTCTTCCCCTTCCTCTTCCTGTCCCTCTTCTTCTGTCTATCTCCATTTCTGTCTCGATTTGTGTTACATATGGCCAAATCACCCTCTCTGTTTCCCTCAATTTTTCCATATATCTCATCCTTTCTATGTCTATTTCTCTCTCTTTCTGTTCTGTTTCCATATCAGCCAACATGTCAATTGCTTTCCTGTACACTTTGTCAGTTTCACTTTCACTCTCACGGCCGTACACGGTGTTCACCAAAAGAAAGAAGTCCAATGAAGTCCTAACGATGTCGCAGATGAACGTCCCGCGGTGATGCACACATCGAAGGAAGATTTTCAACGTATGAGAGATCCTGATGCAATGAAGTTCTGCAACTGTCGAAGTTGAGACTTCGTAGCGGTCAAGTCAGTGTTTACGCAACACATACAGATTTTCCATTTATCTGATAGTCAGTCACTACACGACAAGCACAAAGAAGTATGTCAGAAAATGGAAGTTGTTTGGACGAACTAGTCAACAAGGTGCAAAAATAGTCAAATGAAATCTCAGTGGCGGGACAGTACCTGCCTGATATTGATCTGCATTTGTCAGTATGTAAGACAGCGAAGGCAAGAACACGTGCAAGACCTTGGATGTGTTTTCCATCATCCCAGTGAATCCAAGAAGGGCGTGAACACTCTGCTTTCGCCAGTCTCATCGACAGTGGACCACGCAAGCATACCCGTACAAGATGTCGACGATGAAGAGACACAACAACAGATATATTACGCATGTTCTCCAAATCGTTTTCTTGATATCATTTCCGTATCTCATGTTTCAAGGAAATAAAACAGTGAACGAATGGTCTAACCAGAAGGACATGTGTCTGTTTGACGCGAAAAAATGTGAAATATGCATCTCGATATTTTGTAGGTATTTTTCTTGCTTATCTTAGTACAAATATGTTTCTTTATTATTGTTATGGTTGATATTATATGATTTTTAGTGGATTTTATCGTTATCATTACCATTGTTTTGTTATGTGAGAGAGAAATGAATGAATAGTTGGTGAATATTTTCATTAGAAATCACTGATTAATGTGATAAAAATGACAGACTGTACTAGTGATGATGATAAAAATGATATTAATGATGCCATCGATAACTTTAATAGAAACAAATAATATGGATGTTACAGTCACAGATGATAATTATGAGGTTGATAATGAAA